GCAAGCAGCCCTGTTGGGCCCAGCAGAGCCCCAGGACTCAGGAGGAGCCAGCTCCCACTTCCAGAAAGGGCGACTCTTTCCCGGCTAAAGCTCTCTGCTCAAGGATCCATCTAAATCCAGTTACTTAAAGTGTGGGGTGTGCGTCTGCCAGGGAGGGGCTGCGCAGCCTTGCTGCAACCGCCCGTGATTTCAGGGCTGAGTATCTTTCAGAGTTATTTAAGAGCTTCTTCCCTTTTTTCCCATTTTGATGATATGTTTCTAAATTATACATTAAACTTATCAGGATGAGTAATACCTCACAGCTTCCCCGTGTCAGACCTAATATGACAGCCTCGTCTGCGGCTCCGTGTTTACATGGTTGAGGGGGAAATGCTCCTTTCATATCCATTTATCTTCATGTTAAGTGTTTAGAGATGAGAACCTCAGACAGGTTCCAGACACCTGGGCTCCCCGAGCACTCGGCTTCTGCAGGAATCTCTCCTCCTTCTGTATGCATGGCCAGGGTCGTGTCCCAGGCTGGCTGAGACCTGGAGGTGCCCCCTCCCCAGGGAAGGGTTGTCAGGGGCAGAGAGGCCCCCAGAGGGAGCAGAGCTAGGAGGTCAGGCTCAGAGATGTAAAATGTTTAATGTTCCTGGAAGGGTTGTAAAATGCACCCATACCTCCCATAGCCTCCTGCCTTGGCCCAGGGAACCGCAGCTCCTAGGGGACAGATCCTTGCTCCCCCATCACTCCTGTCTCTGGTGTTCATTCATTCATTTTTGCATTCATGCATGCAAACATACACGCATTCAAATAGCTGTGGCCGTCTCCACGTGCTAGGTAGGCCTGGGCTAGCCTGCCAGTAGCCTATGATGCTGCCTTTGGTCCCGGGGCATTTGGGGAATAGCCCCTGGAGCTGGCATCCAATAGAAGGGCACATCCTCAGCCCACCTGGGGCTCTGCTGGGGGACCATCTTGTCCTCTGAGCCGGGAGAAGCCTTACCATGGACAAGCCCCCAGTCAACCCCTGGGCCAGGAGGCCGAGCTGGGAGGGACTGGCCTGGCAGCCCCCCACCCAGCGCTGCTGGTCTGCGGCACCCCCAGCTGGCACAGTCCTGCCGTGGCACCCAGGCTCTGCCGGGCTGGGGAACAGGGGGTTCTGTCGGGTTTGAGCCCTCAGTTCTGCGGCACAGAAGGAAAAGGAACGGCCACCAGAGGCCAAGGGAGACTGAAGGCGTCATGATCTCTCCAGCTTCCTGAGTTTGGTGCTTGAACTATGCTAGCGACTCTGCGTGGTCATTCTATGTAACCCTCACCGCTGCCCACGGCACCTGCACTTTACAGTTGACGTTGAGGTGTTGGTGCCCAAGGTCACATAGCAGAATGAGGGGTGGGACTGGGGTTTGAGCACACCCTGGCCAGAACCACGTGCTTCACGCCCCTCGGGATCCCCAGGGCCCCCAGCAGGCTGGACCAGATGAGCCACTGGCCCCTGCTGCTGTGACCTGGGCACCCCCTGGCCGGGCCACTGGGTGTCACCCCCAGAGCCTGGCCAACAGCCTCCAGGCAGGGGATTCACCCAAAGGGAAGTGACGGGGCAATTTATCATATCACTAAACTTGCTTAAGGCGCTCTCTGTCTTCCCGTAATGAAATGGGGACGAGATCTCCCCAGGTTATTGGGCACCAGGGCGACTCCGCATCAGACACTTATTATTTTCTGCCGCGATCAGGGAACCCTTACCGTGCTTGGATAAGTGCGGCTTAAAACTGAAAACCAAGCAATTTACCTTCAGTCGCTTCTCAGAATTTTGTGCACCCAGAGACAGTTAAGGAGAAACAGACTCCGTTTCCATTTTACGCGCTTCCCATTAACGTTTGTTTCCTGCCTGAGACTGGGGTTTGGCTGGGGGAGAAGGGTATTGGTGGTGATGGTATCTCCCACCTGCTTCTTTGGGCAAAGGAAACCTGCCTTCAGGCGCGCCTTTCTTGAGGGACGACAGCGTTAAGATTGCTGGGTTCACCTCCCTTTCTCCTGGCAAAGCTGCCCCCTACGTTATTTCTGCCCACCCCTGGGTCACTGGCTCCGTCAGCCAGCGGAGGTGGAGACCCAGCCCTGCCCTCAGGTGTAGCCAGGAGACGAGGCCCGGACAGGGGCTGTACATCTCCCACCCCTCCGGGCAGGGCTCCCTGCATCCCTCCACATTTGTCCAGGCTTTGAGAGGCAGGTGTTCTCCAGCCTCTGGACATTTCTGTCTTGTTTCCCATTAAGAAGCAGAGGTTGATTTTGGAATGCTTGGGGATGAAGAGGCAGAGACCTCGGTGGATGTAGAGTCAGAACTCCCAGGTTTGCCAGCGGGGAGCTGTCTGTGACCCGTTCTGTCTGTTGTCCCGAGGCCAGGCCCCTGGTGCCCTGGTACTGGCGTTGGTTCTCTCCACCCAGCTCCCAGGCACCCTGTGAGCCTCTGCCGCTCAGCACCTACAGGGCTAGTCCCTCAAGGTTCGCTCAGAACTCTAGGAAAGAAATCTCTTCTCCAGTGATATCAACAACGGGGAAGTAGACAAGGCCCCCAAAGCCCTGGCCTGGCTTCTCCTTTATCCCGGGGGTAATAAGAGGGGCGACTGCTGTGATGTAAATGGTCCTCTGCTTTTGAATTTAATAGTTACCTCTCGGGGTCCCTCCATCAGCCAATGCGGCAAGATAAGCTGTTGTGATAGTCTCACCCCCCAACCCCGTGCTTCAGCCCCGCCCCCTCTTGTTATCAGCCCCTCCCCCCCCCCCGCCCCCCGTTGGCTGCACAAGGCCAGGTTGTGTGCGGATGGGATTTGCCAGTCCTTTGCACACCTTGCCGGGCGGATCGTACTGAGCCTGCTCTGGAAACAGGAACTGAGTTTGGACTCTTATCCTGAGGGTCTTCACCTTGAACCCTGAGGTCCCTGTTCATCTGTGCAGACCGTCCTGGGGCTCCCACCTTCCGGGGGTAGGCAGTTCTCTGGAACAGAAGCCACCACCACTGCCCTGGGAACCAAGGCGAGGCTCTGGGAGGACTCACGCACAGCTGGACGTCATCAAGCCTGGCTGCCCCTATGGGTGCCTGGCCAGGGCCCATCTTGAGCCCCTTACTTGGGAGCAGTGAGTTAAGAGGAAGGAAAGTTCCAGGCAGAAAGAGCAGCACATTCCACGAGAACAGAGCAGGGACTTGGGCACAGGCGGGGGTCAGCTTGGTTGGTTGCTGGAACCCCCTCATCCCCCAGTATAACCCTGGTTCTAGAGAATTAAGGGCAGGGGAGCCCAGGGACCCTGCAGCAGCCTCCTGGGCTGGCGTCTCTGCACACAAGGCCGTAATTTGAGGCCATCTGACCTTGGAGGTGGTCTGTGAGGGCTATGGCTAGAGGTGACCCACACACGCTGGCCACACTTGGGCAGTGGCAGACAGCCGCTCCAGTATCCCCCCCCCCTCGCCCACAACTGGTCAGGGCGAGTTTTGGAGAGGACCCAGAGGTGTACCGAAGCACAACTCCGGTCACTTTCTGGTCCTGCTTTTGAAGTGGCCGACACCTTTGTACAACCCCAGAGTGACCGGGCACAGGGGTCAGGCTCTGGCAGCACCGGCAAAGAGACCAGAAAAGGGCTTTCACTTGGAGTGCCTAGCACACACTCCAGGCCTCCCCCAAGAAGCCATCTGGGAATCAAGGTCACTAGATGCAGACTCAAAGCTTTTTGTGTATTTTTACTTCTGCATTTGCTCTTGTTTTTACTGTCACACATACTAAACATATAGAAAACTGCATGAAACAAAAACGAAACACTGGATAAATAACGATAAAGCACGTGGCCACAACCCAGGACACAGGAAAGAACCAGAGAACCGGTTGGTTCTCTGAGGCTCGCCCCTCCCCCACAATGGAAAGGGTAACCTGGGACTAGGACCCCAACAGAGGCTGAACTATTTCTGGGCAGTCCCAGGCCAGTGCAGAAAGCTCTGTCCTCACCGTGGATTCCTCTCCCTTCCTGGTCTCTGAGAGGAAGGAACGCTCCAAAAATGACAGGATTCAAGTGAGATTAATTTCTTATTTTAGACCTTTAGTTGCACAGAAACGAAGTCCCTGGGTCGTAAGGAACTTCAGATCAATTAAAACAATTTACTTTGCTGCTAATGATTTCAGACCATTGTAATTTATTGGTAAGTAAATGACTTCAAAAGCGTATTACTTGGGCGGCTGCACAGAGGGAATTTTAACAAGTTCTTGGATAAATTAAGTCTGGAATTTGTTAACAGACTGTTATTGTAAAACATTTAAAGTAGGCCTTTCACACAGCTCCAAGTTTCCAGAAACAATTAAAACTTCTAACCAGTTCTTCATTGTTTAAGGGAATCAAATGACAGGAGAGGGCTGCTGACAACAGGTGGGAAACCCCGGCCCAGCAGTGATGTCCAAGGCACTGGCAGCCGCTGGGATCCCCCTGTGATTTCTGCTCTCGCGGAAAAATCCACATCACTACTCTGGCCAAAGTACGCCCCGCACGGCTGGGCTTCCACCTGCCCCCAGTGGCATCTCCAGTTTCTCTGCCTTTAGTCCCCGAGCTCCAGCCCCACTGGCTCTGGCACAGGCCCAGCTGCAGCTATAGTCTTCCTTAGTCACCTCTCTCTTGTCCATGGACCTCTCCTCAGCACATCCCCTGGGCTTGGGGTCTGCCCGCCTCTTAACAGGAGGATGAGTATTCAATGAGTGATTGCATTGGTGACGGCTCCAGCATGCGACATGGGTAGTGTCCCACTGGAATGGGCCAGAACCCCCTGCAGGGACAGGGAACTACCCCTGGTGCCCAGGGCAGGGAAGCTTAAGAATACAGGACCGACCAGGTGAGAGGCCTGGCTGCCTGCGAGCCGCCCACCAGGGCAGAACGGGCAGTGGGCAACCAGGCGTTGCAGTGTGGACCGCCCTTAGGGGCTTTGAATCCGGTCAGAGGGTTCTTGTCCATGCCTTTTATGTAAGGCCCAGAGAGCCCTCCCTGAGGCCAACCTGCATCCCCTGGGGCCTTTTCCTTGGAAAATGAGGATTCTCCTTGAATTCTTCCCAACCCTCAATATCTCAGTTTCTGGTCAGTAATAACAGTAAGATAATAGTGCAGCCGGCGTGAAGCCCTGGGGCAGAGCAGGAACCTCGCACCTCAGGAAATGTGGTATTGCCTTTAGACCTCAACAGGCCTGGAGGCAGGGGCCAAGGCACAGACTGGCACTCAGGGGTTAAGGAACTTGTACAAATTGGATGGTGCCTAAGTGGCAGGGTTGGGCTGTGGATGCTACAATCTAAAATCCACCATGCTATCCTGCGTGATGTCCACCCTTCTCATGGCCCCTTAGTGCCACTCGGCCTCTGGGCAGCGGCTTCCAACCCAGGCCTGCTTTAGAGGCGGCTCAGCAAAGGCCTGGGTCCCACGTCCCGCCACCAGATCCAGAAGCGATGAGCGCCTAGCACACAGATGGCAGGCAGGGGGCCAGCTTGGGACACTTCCTCACCCTCATAGGTTCATCCATCAGGATATACTGATTGAAGAGCGCGGTGATCGGGGGTTTGGAGTCCCGGAGCCCCTGTTCTCTCGGAGCAGAAGTCCTAGTGGGAGGAAGCAGAGGCAAGGAGCAAATGAACAAGAAAGACGAGATGTGAGTGTGTCAGGGCTCTGGTCTCACCGATCAAGGTCGGGAAAGGACTGTCTTAGGAGGTGGCGCTTGAGCTGTGACAGAGTGACGCTGAAGAATGTTCCAGGCAGAGGGAACAGCCAGTCAGTGCAAAGGCACCTGGGCTGGGAGGAAGGAAAAAGAAAGAAAACAGGGGCAGGGTGGTGAGCAGCGGGGAGGGTGCAAGAGAGGGGAGGGCAAGGAGGGCGGAGTGTGGATTTCTCTTTAGTCCAAGGCTTTGGAGCATTTTAAGCAGGGCGGTGACAGGACCTGACGGATGCGTTTTAAAGGCTTCTTCCGGCTGGTAAGGGTTAAATGGATGTTTGTAGAGAGGCCAGCTCAGAGGCAAATAGAGCAGCCGGAAGGGCCAGGCAGGGTCCAGGTGAGAGGATGGCTAGGTGAACCAGAGCAGGAGCTGTGGGGAGGGGAGGAGGACAGAGGTCTGGGGTCTGTTTTGAGGTGAGGTTGACAAAACTTGCTAATTGTTTGGGTGTAAGGTTAAGGCAAAGAGAGGAATCAGGGTGACGGATGGATTCAGGGCTGGAGGAGCTGGGTGGATAGTGGTGCCAGGTACTCAGAAGAGAAGACCAAGGGGGATCCCAAGGGCCCCTTTCGCCATATTTCAGTCAAGGTGGCTGTGGACGCCCTGCTGGCGTGCTGTCTTAGTCTGCGCAGGCTGCGATCACAGAGTACCACAGACTGGCCAGTTTACATAGCAGCCACTTATTGCTCACAGTTCTGGAGGCTGGATGTCCAAGATCAAGGCACCAGCTGCTTCCTGGTTCATAGAGGACCATCTCCTCCCTGCGTCCTCACGTGGCCAAGAGAGAGAGAGCTCTAGTCTCACCTTCTTCTAAGGGCACTAATCGCATCATGGGCCCCCCCCTCATGGCCTCATCTAAACCTAATCACCTCCCAAGGGACCCACCTCCTAATACCATCACATTGGGGGTTAGAACTTCAACACATAGATTTCAAGGGGACACAGGCATTCAGTCCACACATATCCAATAGGCGGTCGTTGCTGTGGGTTTGGTATTGTGTGGTAAAGTCGGAATTTAAGTCATGAATTAGGAATTAGAGTCAACGGTCAGGGTGTGGGAAGTCACCCAGGAAGGAAAGGGGGGGCAGAGACTAAGGATGGGGACACCGTAACATTTACAGGCCACAGGGGGAGGAGGAGAGGATACCTGGAGAGAACTGACTGGTGTGGGTTCCATAAGCCAAGAAGAGAGCCTTTCAGGAAAGAGACCCACAGGGTCCACACAGATCACGAAACAAGAAGGTGCTTCCACGAGACTCCGGGATGATCGCGCTGAGCAAAACGTGTGCCTGTGTCTCAGATCCAGTGGGATCGGGTTTTAGATTATTTGAAGCCAGTTGGCAAACCCTTTTAGAGCCGATCACAGACTGCATTTTAGTAATTTTCATAGTATTTTTGGCAGCTCCAGAGACACCAAGGCAAGGCAGAGAATCTTTTAATGGAGCATTGAAAAGCAGTTTTTAAAAATACGTTTTAGAAAGCTATTTAAATTCTCCCGTCTGTAGCAAAATTAATGTATAAACTTAGCGCCTTCATTTGGCTCTACTTAAAACAAAAAAGGTGGGAAGCAGTTTCCTCCCTCGGTTCTGCTGAATCTAGAGGCTGATTCTCATTTGGCATCACGGAACCTGGACATTTCCAGGGATGCCCTGTGCAGGAAAGGCTCCAAACACTTTCCATCATGAAGTCATTTAATCTTTACAACAATCCCATGAGGGGAACAAGTGATATGTGCTCCCCCATTTCAGAGATGGGGAAACTGAGGCCAGTGTTTGTTAATAAGAAGCTAAGTAGGTTTAGCATCTTTAGAGAGGGGAAAGGAAGGAAGCTTGCCAAACATGTTAGAGCTGGAGGGATGGAGGGGGACCCTATCTGTTGTATGCTGAAAGCTTGTGCTTTTAATCACCCTCGGACTCCCCGCTGCCTGGGCTTCACACGGGGTTGGGGTGGGGACGGATATGCAGCTGGGTTCAGACCCACTGCAGGAGCCTTGCTGTGGCGATTCTAGGAGGGGTTAGCGTCCGCTCATCAGCACCCCGGGGTGCCTGTTAAGTGTGCAGTGAAGCTAACTGGGGTTTAGGAGAGTAGATCCTTGGGATGCTCCCCAGGGGGATTCTGACACTTGGTAAACTTTGAGATGCCCTGACAGCCTGCCCCTCAACACGTGCCATCACTGTGATTTCAGATCCAAAGAACCTGGGGGATGGTGATACAGTCACCCCTCCCCTCTGCAGAGAGGGGAGGTTCTCTGCTCAGGGTCCCAGAGAACCCAGGCCCTTGACTCCCGTGGCAGGGTCTCCTCACAGATACCCCCTCCCTGGCCCTGGCCCAGGCTCCAGCCAGCCTGGAGAGGCAAGCTGTCTGCCCCCAAAGAGGTGTTGTTTTCAGGGGAAAAGACAAGAGGTTGGTGTCCGGATGAACTGTAGCTGGAGGCCTGGCCACCCTTTGGTGGCAGCCTACCCACGGGTTACCTGGGGTCTCCAGCTCCAGCACGGTAGCCTGCACTGTTCCAGCCCCTCTCTCCTCCCTCTGTCCTGGGAGATGGGCAGGAAGTCTGTGACAGGCCACTACAATATATGACAAGTCCTGGGGGCCTGCAGAAGGGGATGGAGGGGACAAGCTGAGCAGTTGGTGCAGGTGGGGCCGACAGCACTTGGGAGCCAGCGGGCGGGGACGCAGGGGGGCTCGCAGAGTCCACAGAGGAGAGGCTGGTGGCCTGTCTGTCCCACCCGCCACAATCCAAGGTGGAGCTGGAGGGACTGGTCTGTCCTGTCACAGCCAAGCTGTGTGACTCAGGTGTGGGTGGAAATAAAGGAGGGATCAGAAAGGATGGCTCCACACCAGGTGCCACCTGGATCTTGGGAACAAGGGACCATCTCTCGTTTGACTTAGACAGGCCGCTAGGGCCCTTGACCCAGAATTTGCCCAGCATCTTCCCACCCCTCGTGCCCGCTCATACCCACGTGTGTGTCACGGGCTGACCCTCTGCAGGACTCGTGTCCACTTATAGCTCTGTGCCATGGCTGCGCTCGCTGGGGGACATGCACGGCCTGCTCCCACAAAGGAGAAGTGCCCGCTCTTCAGATGAGCAGCGGGGGCCTGGTTTCTCAGGACCACTTGCTCCCTGGGCAAGTTAACGAACACCCGCATTTTCCCTCCGTGGTTGAACTGGCCATCACCGGCCAGGGCAGCCAGATCTGTCAGGCCACTGCTGTTTCAGGTCCTCCTGGCTTTACTGCCTCACCTGGAGCATCATCGAGGGGCAGCCAGCAGCTGAGAATCACTCAAGGTGACATGGCATTTTAGATTTCATTTCCCGCCCCCCAGCCCCACCCAGGTCTCTATCTGTGGGAGACAGTGACAAAGTGACGGCACTCAATAACTCGCAACACGAGCAGAGCTGATGTCCCAGGGGCAGGTTGTGCTCCGCCAGTGACTCAGGAGCCCCAAGCCTGCCTCTTTGCTGCCATCTTCTCACTCTTTGTTGCCCCAAGATCCTGGCCTGCTTGCTCCTAACACTACCGATCTTCTCCCAACAAATACCAGTGCTAGAACCCATCACATGGGCAAGGGCCTCAGACAACACTGGATCCAAGTCTGGGCTCCAGCTACCAGCTGCCCTTCACCTTGGGCAAGATGCTTGACCTCCGTGAGCTTCCATTTCCTCTCACCTGCCTCCTAGGATGGGCATGAGGACAGGGGATGGTGAGCATGTCGGGGTAGCTCTATGTCCAGCAGAGTGAGAGCTCAGTAAATAGCAGGAAGCTCCATGGTTTTCTCTAACTAGGGACTGGTTGATCAACTGCTAACTCTGGTCTCAAGAGTGACACAGAAAGGAAGAGGGATCCTGGCCTGAATGGGGCAGCCTCTGAGCTTTTGATGGAGTCAGTGGGGTGGAGTATGGGTTTCCTCCTGGGTGGGTGGGTCCTCTGGAGAAACAGTATATATATATATGTATATATATAGAGAGAGAGAGAGAGAGAGATTTTAAGAAATCGGCTCACACAATTGTGGGGCCGGCAATCTGATTTCTGCCCAACAGACCAGCAGGCTGGAGACCCAAGGAAGAGTTGATATTCCCATCTTGAGTTTGAAGGCATCAAGAGGCAGGATTCTTCTTCCTTTCCTTGGAGAACCTGAGTCTTTTTTCTTAAGGCCTTCAACTGATTGGATGAGGCCTACTCACATTACAGAGGGTAATCTCCTTACCCAAAGTATCTAAAAACTACATCTGCAGTGATGTCTAGATTAGTGTTTGACCAAATAGCTTGGTCCCGTGGACTAGACAAGTTGACGCATCACGGGGGAAGAGCCAGGCGCCCTGGGCCGTCCTCTGCCAGCACCGTGGTCTGTTGGATATGGTGGCCCTACCCCTGCCTGGTCTGCATCTCTCCCACCCCTGACCTCCCACCCTCAGGGGTAGCTTGTGTGGGGCTTCAGCAAAGGACAGGAACCACATCAGAAGCCCAGCACCCTCTGAGTCATGCAATCCAGGCAAGGCCCTTGGGCAGACAGTAAAGAGTTTGCCCTGGCTGGTCTGGGAGAAGAGAGGCCAGTATTGTCCATGGAACTTGGACAGGCCCTCCAGCCTTTGTCCTGAAGCAAGATTCCACCCAGGTCCAGACCCCCAGCCCCTCCAGCCAGGCTGAGGCTCACAGGTGCCTCGGTAGGGCCCTTAGGAAGCAACAAAAGGGATACCAGAGGTCAAAGGCTACAGCAACCTCTCCCGAGGAGTGGCTGGGAAGGGTCTGAGACCCAACAGCTGCCACCCAAGACACGTCACAGGCCAGGAAATAGTTCCTTTAAGGCAGATGCTAGCAGTGCCTGACACTTCCACAGTAGAAGCTCAGAGCAATTCTCTTGCTTTTATCTTTTCTTGAGGCTCAGCTTCATGAAAAGTGGCCTCTATCTACGGCTGATAAATAACCAGAAACTTGCTGTATCTGCTTTCATTTGATTTTCTTGAACAATTATCACCAGTATGCCTTACATTTAGAGGCTGAGACTTTAAGTGGCTGAAAGAACTTCCCAACTGAGCCAGCCAGGGGCTCGTTTGAAGTTCTTTGGTGCATTGGAAAGCAACTAGACATGATCTATGGAGGAGTCGGGAAGAGAGTGTTTCGTGTTAATGGCATAAACGTTTCCTCCTCTCCCGGGAATGGGACTGTGGGAGGAGGGTTCCCACCCCCCACCCTCAAGCCACAGGAGACTCTGCCCTGCCAGACCCTCTGAGCTGAAGAGCCACTCCCTGGGCTCAAGCCTGGGCTGCCCACAGGACTGGGTCTAGACCAGATGATGCCCAACACAGTTCTAGATGCTGAGCTTGAAGAGAATGGTGTCTAGACAGGAGTCATCCAGAGAAGGTTGATCAGGGTGCGGACGGGTCTGGAGTCCTCAGAACGATTAGGGGAGGAAACTGGGATTGTCGAGCTGCCGAAGCCTTAGAGGCTGTTTTTGTTCTTCTGTTCTAGTACTTGGGCTATAGTGTGATTCTGCCTCAGCACCAGAAGTGTAAGCTCCCTGAGGCCAGAGACTGCATCTTTCAATACCCAGAGTGGTAGCAGCATGTCTTCAATGCATGTTTAATGGAAGAAAGGATGGATGGATGGATAGGTAGATGGATGGGTAGGTGGGTGGATAGAAGATGGGCAGATGAGTAGGTAGACGTGTGGATGGATAGATGAGTGGATGGATGAATGGGTGAGTGGATGGGTGGGTGAATATGTCGGTTGATGGATGGATGGAGGGGTAGGTGGATGGGTAGGGAGGATAGTAGGTAAATGTGTAGATGGATAGGTGAGTGGATGGATGGGTGGATTGATGAGTGAGTGGGTGAGTGGATGGATGGACGGACGGACAGACGGATGGATGGATGGAAGAATGTGTAGACGGATGAGTGACATGAATCTTCTTCAGATCTTTGAAGGCCTATCTATCACATCCCGAGGAGTAGAGTACCTATTCTCTGTGGGTCCAGAAGACAAAATCTTTCCAGATTCTCTGGGGCAGCAGATTTGGCCTCAGGTTAGGAAAGAACTTTACAAAGACTCAAACTGCTTTTGGTGGAATAGATGGTGTGGAGAGAGAGCGAGCCCCTGCCCTGATGAAGAAGGGGAGCCTGCCGGGTGGAGTAGCAGGTGTCTGTGCTGCCAGGAGCAGGGCTGGTGACCTCAGAGGGCCTTCCCAGCTCTGAGCTGCCATGATTCCTCTTGGGCACCGAGTAAGAGCGGATTTTTCTGGGTCAAGCCATGGTCCTTGCAGAGGACCTGTGCTGTACCTGGTGCTCACCTCGGCAGGCCTGGTCAAAGGGGATCTGCAGAGAGAACAGAAAGCATGTGATGGTCAGGCAGGCCTGGTGGAGTTGACTGAGGGGGAGGCAGGAAGAGGCTGCCCAGAAAGCCCCTCCGGAGATGGCAGGAACAGCACCAGGGCAGAACCTCCTGGACCTTCTTCCTGGGGTATTCTCAGTACCCAGGGGACCCTCTTCTGGGGGCAGGTCCCCCCTTCCCCTCATGAAAGCCAGGACCCAAAGGAGCAGGGGACAGCCTGAGAGGGCGGCTGGGGACACGACTGGGTGACCAGGGAGGGCAGAGGGCCAAGGGCTCCAGGAGAGGCTGGCAGCAGGGAAAGGATCCCCTCTGGTAATTGCCTGTGGTGTCCACTCTGACCATCAGTTTGATCTGCGCTCAAGGGTACAGCCGAGGTTCACCTTGTTCTGCTTAAATAATCCAGGTAGTGAGGCTACTGACAACCTGTCGTCTGCTAGAAAGTGGCTCTGACACGGCCAGAAGCCTGGGCAGGCCCCCGGGGCCTTGGCCTACACTGGTCCAGCCAGGTGCTTGAGCGGCCTTCAGGCAGAGGCCAGGCCCTGGGCTGGGTCCATATTGGACGGATGGGAGCTTGACACGTCCCTGGCCTTTTCCCAGAAGGACGATCTATTGGGAAGTTCTAAGAGAAAGGAAGGGCGGCAGCTGCCTGAATAAGGAGCCTGCATTTTGTGTTCGGAGGGAAGGCACGTGGGGCAGCCCCGCCCACAGGGCTGGGGGCCGTGCTGAGTCACTTCCTGGCAGAGGACGCTCTGTGCCCTCCCCCGCCCTGCCTGCTGCCCGCCTCCTGCTGGCCTGGGTGGCTGACAGACAAGGGGTTGGTGATGAGTCCGCTGCTCTTCCCTGAGCCTGGCTTGGATGTTTTTTTTTTTTTAATGTTTAAAAATTCCCCACAGCATGGCAGGTGCCCGGCTGCCGGGTCACCCCATCGGCTGTTCTGTCATCAGACATCATGTTTACCCGTCAGACACTGTTTTCCTGACACTCAACACTCCAAATAATGATCTCGTTGGAGCATCTTCATGAATGATTCATGAGGCTCCGCTCAACTTTGGGTGTTAACAGCAAACCAAAGCCCTGCTTCACGGGAGCCGGCAGGCGGCAAGAAGGGCACCCTGGCTGTGGCCTCCAAGCCCCTCGGGGATGTTTAGGACCCTCCGGCTCAGCCTCAGGGCTCTCTTCCCCCAGCCCCAGCCCAGCCGGCCACCCACCAAGCCACAGCGCAGACAGAGAGAAGAGCAGAGTTCTAGAAACGGGGTCTGGGGTGTGGTCCCTGCTGTCGCCCTGTGCCCAGTGACCTTGTGGAGAATGTTGGAGCTCAGGCCCCACGTCCCCACCGGACCTCCACCACCCACAGCCTGTGTGACCTTGAGCAGGTCCCCTGCTTCTCGAAGCTTCCCCTTCCTGCCTGTGAAGCCAGGCGGGGCTGGCTCCCTCACAGGGTGGCAGTGAAGATTCCTGGCCTGTGGGAACAGCCGAGACGCGGTGGCCGTTATTCTTCACTACTACTACCTCACCTCCCCTGCCTTTCTTTTCCGGGCTGTAGAACGAGAGGGTTGAGCTAGGTGGTCCCCACACCTTCTCCCCTGCCACACAGGTCTCTGCTTGTTCTGGGACTGGGTTCCAGGAAGTTGCAGAGAGGCCTCGGCCTGCTGAGCATACTTGCAGGGACATTTCTTTCTTTCTTTTTTTTTTTTTTTGCGGTACGCGGGCCTCTCACTGTTGTGGCCCCTCCCGTCGCGGAGCACAGGCTCCGGACGCGCAGGCTCAGCGGCCATGGCTCACGGGCCCATATGCACACATATGCATGCACGGGCACACGTGCACATGCGTGAACACACACGTACACGGTATACCCATGTACACATGCGTGCACAGGTACACACATGCTTGCACAGGTACAGGCATGCACACACGCACACAGCATCCACAGAGAACATGAGGGCTCTCTGATGCCTGCAGAGCTAGCTCAGTGCAGAGACTGTGAAGCCAGGGGCTCCAAGCAGGAGATGGCACAGCTAGGCTCTCTCTGCCCCCCCATCTGCCCTCCCCCACAGTCAGCTCCCTCAGGAGGGCGGGGTCTGCCGCTCATGAACACGTGGTACCAGACACCCAATTCAGGCTTAATAAATCCGGGCCAAATGAAGGGAATTTATAGCTGGGTATTGAGCTCTGGGGGCACACAGTGAACCAGACGGATCCGGCATGATTAGCCGACACCTCCCACCCAGCCTTGGTTTCTCCTGTAGGATTAAGGAGGGAAACCTGCCAGTTAGATCCCCAACACTTCAAATGTTCTGCTTTCTGCTGTTCAAAAGCAATGAGGGGGAGCCCCTCCCAGGGAGCCTGTCGGCAGTGGTCGTAGGGAGAAGAGGGACAGCCCCTGACCCCAGGGAGGGGAGGCCCAGGGAGGGGAGGCCCACGGAGCCGCAGACCCTGCACTGGCCAGAACTGGCCTCTGCCCTGGAAGCAAGATTCTGGCCCAGCTGTGGGGTTTACTTTCTTCCTAAACAACCTGGGAGCAGGATGTCAGAAGGGGACTCTGGTCCCACTGCTGACCCAGGGGTCCAGGGAAGGAGGAGGATGACCCAGCCCAAGGTGGGGTCCAGGGGAGGAGGAAGATGACCCAGCCCAGCGCCTGATCCTGACCAGGGTGGGCCTGAGAAAGCAGGAGGCCAGCTGTGCCCGACAGTGGAACATGACCCGTGGGCCCGTGTGGCCCACCACGGATGAGTGCAACTCACAAGCGAGTCTGGCAAGAGCTGCATGTGGCTGAAGGTGGGCTCCGGCCTCGTCTGTCAGGTGCCTTTCCTTCCCCAGATACGCTCGGGCGCCGGGCAGAGCCAGGGCTGCTGTTGCCTCAGGTTGCGCCTCACCGCCCCGTGCCCCGAGACCGCCCCTGACGTGACCGCCTGGTCCTCAAGGCTCTGGGCCACCTCCAGCGCCCCCTCCGCCTGTGACAGTGCTGGCCTGCGCTGCTCGGGGCTCTCTGGGGGCGTGTGGAGGGTTGCCGGCCAGGCGTGGGCCTTCTGACATTTCTGGAGACCGTGGACCACGCAGAGGCCAGACTGGGAGCCAGGGCGGCACTCAAAGGGCGGATCTGTCCTGCTGGGGCCCTTGGGGGACATGACTGCCCTTTGCGGCTTAATAAGACATTTCAGAGACATGGGTCAGGTGGAGTGGAATGTGGTGGAAGTGACATGTGGGTCTGCGGAAGCAAAGATTGCCAGCCCCGTGCCCCTCGTCCCATCCAGGAGCCCCCCTGCCCCCCGCCTGCTCTTTTCTCCCTAACACCCCATGTTCTTCACTGATCATTCCACACCCACTGGTCTTGTCTCCCCCGCCAAGTGTGTGTTTCCTGAAGATGGGGCCCCCAGCTGAGAAATGTTCATGTCCCTCTCCCATGGCACCAGCAGATGCCCAACCAGACCCACGACCCACGGATGAAAGGACCTGGGAGAGAGGGAGCCTGAAGCCATCACGCAGTTGCCTCTAGTCCGTGGGTAACCCAGGGCTGGCTGTGAGCTCTGGTTCTGGCCACGCAGCTAGATTTTCCCCTTGGAATTGGAATGCAGGGCCAAGCCCCCGAGTCCTAGGTGATGCCCTGCTGAAGTCCTGTCACTCATCTGCTCATTTAGTCAAGACCCACCGTGTGCCCGGCGCTGTGCTGGGATGGACAGAGCAGGAGGGAAGAGGGTCCTGAGCCGGAGGTGCGGGCTGGAAGACGGTCAGCGCTGGCTGCTCCCAACGCACACGGGAGGGGTCCCAGGCCAGCCCGGGGTGACCTCTGGAGCTGGTAAAGCCAGAGCTGGGGTTTGCAGGACGAGCAGTGGCTCGCCAGGCCCCGAGGGAGAGGATGCACGGAAGCGCAGCCATCCCCTTCGGAACCTGCAGAAGCATGTATGATATGGTCCCTGCCCACAAGGATGTGGTGACAGGTTGAGGATGGGTTGAATAGGACAAGAGTTAAGCCCCATTGCCAAGCAGGGAATGGGAGCCGTGGCATGAGAAAGCACGTGATTAAGTGCTGGGTGAATCCCACCCACCACTGTGTGGGGAGAGCAGTAGGTGGCAGGGGCAGGCTGGACTCTGGGGGGTGGGTGGGCAGAGAGGTGACGTTAGCAGGAGAAATGACCGTGTAAGCAGAAACCCGAGGCTGGAAGGTTCAGGCTGCATCAGGGAGCAGTTTGGCTGGAGCGTATGAGTTGGGGTGAGAGCTGTGTGAGGGACTCCTTTCAGGCCACTGAGCTGGCCCATCTGCTCCCCCCAGAGGACCTTGGGAGCTCATCCTGCATCCCTGACCCCCCTTCACAGTTCTGCATCCCATTCCAGCCCCAAGCACTTATTTACACCCATCTTCTCCTGCTCACACAAAACCAGACCCCAGAGACAAACAGGGAGACATAAAAATGAGAAAAGATGAAGATTCATTGACGCCAGAACCAACTCTATTCTGGAAAATTGAAATATTTTGTACGTAATGACAATGGTGGCACCACACGACCTTCCCGGAACAACTTCCCAGATATATGAGAGCGACAACAGTCGTCCCATTGGCGCTGACACACCGAAGCCTCCCCAAAGCTACCACTTAAAAAATGTCTCCCGTGTTCTTAACATTCCACACTCGGTGATGTTAATGGCTCATCACTGTTATCAACAGTCACAAATTTCCAGGACTTATAAATGACACCACCCCCGGAGACAGCCCAGAACAACCTGCCATCAGCCTGCCCGGCCCCAGCTAGACCACGAACATCACATCAGGCTTATCTGGTGGGCCCCGCTGCCACCCCGAGGCTCACACCCTCCTCCCTCACCTTGAACCCTGGGAAACTTGGGGCAGCTGCATCCACTTCCCCTTGGCCTTCAGGTGCCATTGATGCTGCTGGGTGATGGGGGCGGGGGATGGATGCTGCAGGGGGCGGGGGAGGTCCTGCACTCGGAATCAGTGCTCTGAGCCAGGGCAGGCGTTACACTTCCTGAATGCTACTGCCTTTTTGCTGCCGCCTTTTTGCTGCCTGGCCCCCCGCTCTGCACACCTGCAAAGATCAGACCCTCTTCCTCATTCATTCATCCATCCATGCAGCAACTTGTTTTCTGAAATGATTGCAATGCTGCATGGACGATTGGGCCACACCCAGGATGTGGTCCAGGGACTTCCCATCCTGAAGGATGTGAGCAATGCCAAGCAGAGGGGCAAGCTCGGGACCTGGGATGTCAGAGCCCACAGAGCTCTAGTCCCCGCTCCAGGAGTAGCTCATGGGAATCAAAGAAGCTGGCCACTCACAGGTCGGGCGAAGCAGGCCTCATACCCTACCCGAGTCCTCCCACGTAGTTGATGCTTAAATCTGCCCTCAGAGGCAAACAGGAAGTGTGTGACGTGGAGGTGGGGAGCTCAGGCTCTGGAGCAGGCAGCCTGAGTGTGGATCTGACCAAACACGGACTAGCTATCATTCTTCTGAACATCAGTTTTCATAGCTGTGAAATGGGACTAAAAACACCCTCAGAGTTGTTAAGGAGGTCAGATGAAACAATGCATGTCCAGGATACAGCACTCGTCTTGGCCCAAAGTAAATGCTCAAGAGATGAAGACTTATTGTTAATTTGGGGGATTTTCTCATTCTGCTCTGGGCTTAATTCTCCTCAAAAGGCAGAAACCCCTATGAGGGGTTTGAGTGGCACCTCCATGTGGAAAGACTGTGTTTGATGGGAGGAGAGATGAAAGGTCACTTCCAGGAGGTGGGAGAGATACAGGGAAGTGACAGCCTGCTAAAAGGGGTAGCTGGCATTGCTGCCTCCTGGTTCTGGTCAGCCCTGCCCAGTTTGGCCACCATGAGTGACTTACAAGCCCCCGCCTCAGTTTCTCCATTTGCCAAGTCAGCCTCCTCAGCCTTGCACTCCGCTCCAGCACCTACAATAGCTATTTGTGGGATGTTTTGAACAGGACTGCTGGGGAAATCTAATGAGATAATGAATGCGCAAGGGCTTTGAAAAGACCCAGTGTTTTGTAAATGTAAGAGATTTTTACTCCCATTTACCAACCTTTTAAAAGGATGTTTTCCCTCAATTCAGCCAAATTTAACTTGGATGGTAAAGAGCCCAGCCCGGGCGTCCCCAGCTATAATTTCCCTGCTTCCTTGCGCCTCCGAATATTAAAGCACAAAGGCTCCCATTGCCGAGAGAAACCAAACCAGCAGCACATTAGAGGCGCGGTTGCACAAACGGAATTCAAAGTGATATTTCAAGCGGGGTGTTCTGTTTATATAAACCTTGAGAGCACTCGAATGTCAGCAGAACTTTGAAATTAAAGTCGCTCCTTTTTTCATACGCTTCTCCCTCTTTTATTGAGCCTGTGTCTTGGGATAGGAGGAGGTTAGAAACCACTTGGGGTTTTACTTTATAGCGTTAGAAATGCTACGATGAAGCAGGGAGGCTTCCTAAAGGCTCCAGGCCAAGGCCAATCTGTTAAAGGGACAGCGCTGTCCACAGTGCTGAAAAGGAAAGCCAGGCCCCAGGCTGTGATGCGAGGGCTTCTGGGTGAGGGGTCCTTCTCCAGGGGCACATTCCCCGGTGCTCCCTAGAATCCTGGAGAAGGGACAGAGCCCAGGGGAGGCCAAGTCTCCTGAA